CTCCTCTTCCTCCCCCTCCTCTTCCTCCCCCTCCTCTTCCTCCCCCTGCTCTTCCTCCCCCTGCTCTTCCTCCACCTCCTCTTCCTCCCCACCCTCCCCTTCCCAGAGTCTGATTTGCATCGACTTCACAGCAGCTCAGGAGGTTTTGGGTGGGACGGGGACACCAAAGATCATCTCGTTCCACCACGGGCAGGGAAACCTTTATCCCAACCCGGCCTTGGACACTCCCAGGGATGGGGCAGCCATGGAATAACCTGTGTCAGGGAAGGATTCCTTCCCAACATCCATCCAAACCTCCTCCCTGTCGCTCTGAACCCGCCCCCCTTGTCCTGCCACTCCAGGCCCTTGTCCAAAGTCTCTCCCCCACAAAGTCTCTCCTGTGTCACCCCAAGCAAATAATTGTTTTCCAGGAGGAATTTTCTCCTGGAAAGGGGTGGTCAGGCCTTGGCAGGGGCTGCCCAGGGAGGTGGGGGAGTCCCCAGCCCTGGAGGTGCCCAGGGAAGGACTGGATGTGGCACTGAGTGACAAGATGCTGATGGATCAAAGGCTGGACTGGATGACCTTGGAGGTCTTTCCCAACCCAAAATGATCCTGGAATTCCATGAAATGCAGCCCCCTGGGAGCAGGGGCAGGTCCAAACCTCCCCTTGTCCCTCTCCTTGGCCGAGAGGATCCCAGTGGGTTTTTTTGGGGGGGTTTCAACTCCCCCACCCCAAATTTCCAGGGGGGAAGATCTTCTCCCCCAAACCCTTTGCTGCGTTTCCCTCGAGCCCAGTGACTCACATTTGCCTCCATCCCCGGGCAAACAGGGCTGGGTTTTGGGGCAGGAAAAAGTGTGGGAGGAAGAGAAGGTGCCACCTCGGTGGGGGGAGCAGGGGAAGGGACCCCAAAGTGCCACCCCCACCTTTCCCACCGCCCCCTTTTCCATGGGGATGGAAAAGAAAAGAGGGGGAATTACCCCAGAACAGCCCAGAGGACCCCAAATCCACCCATCCTGCTGCAGCAACAGAGCAAACACTCCCCCCCCCAACACCCCAACACCCCATCACCCAATTTTGCCCCTTCCAAGCACCAGTTTGAGCCACCCCTGGGGGGTTTTATCTCCCCAAAATGAAGCAGGAATGTGGGCATGGTCATCATTCCAAAGGATAATCCACAGGGAGCCTCAGGCACGTTCTGCTGGGACATCTCAGGGGTGCTGGGACATTTCAGGGGTGCTGGGAGCTGGTTTTTGCCACAGCAAGAGGAGTTTTTTGGGCTCCTCGTGAGTTACCAGATGGAAAAGCCCTTTTTACGTCACCCCAGAAAAACCCCCTCTGTGCCCAGGAGAGAGGAGGCATCGGCTGGAGGGGAGGGAGGGATGAAAACAGTGCCCCCAAATAATCCAAACTGAGCAGTAAAAAAAAAATACCCCCTAAATAATCCAAACTGAGCAGTACAAAAAAAATACTCCCCTAAATAATCCGAACTGAGCATTTAAAAAAAAAATACCCCCAAATAATCCGAACTGAGCATTACAAAAAAATATCCCCAAATAGCCCAAACTGAGCATCACAAAAAAATAACCCCAAATAACGTGAACAGAGCACTACAAAAAAAAAATACATCCAAATAACCCAAGCTGAGCATCACAAAAAAATACCCCCAAACAATCCAAAACGAGCACTACAAAAAAAATACCACCAAATAACCCAAACTGAGCATTAAAAAAAAAAAAATCAAATAATCCAAACTGAGTATTACAAAAAAAATACTCCCTCAAATAACCCAAATTGAGCATTACCAAAAAAAAATACATCCAAATAATCCAAGCTGAGCATCACAAAAAAATACGCCCAAACAATCTGAACTCAGTATTATAAAAAAATACCCCCAAGTAACCAAAATTGAGCTTTACCAAGAAAAAAAAACCCCAAATAACCCAAACTGAGCATTACAAAAAAATAACCCCAAATAACCTGAACAGAGCATTACAAAAAAAAAAAAAATACATCCAAATAATCCAAACTGAGCATTAAAAAAAAATACCCCCAAATAACCCGAACTGAACATTAAAAAAAAAAAAAATAATCGAAACTGAACATTACAAAAAAAAATACTCCCAAATAATCCAAACTGAGAATTACAAAAAAACAAACAAATAATCTGAACTGAGCATTAACAAAAAAAAAAAAAAAAAAATAGTGACCCGAACTGAGCATCACAAAAAAATAATAATAAAAAAAATAATCTGAACTGAGCATCACAAAAAAAATAAATAAATACAACCAAATAATCCAAACTGAGCATTACGAAAAAATAAATAAATCCCCCCAAAACAACCCCAAACTGAGCATTTTTGGGAGGCAAAGGCACTCACCCCAGACGGCCCCGAGGGCGAGGAGCAGCCGGAGCAGCAGCAGCAGCAGCAGCGGAGCCGAGCAGCCCATGCTGGGAGCCCCGGAACCTTCTGCTGCTCCGGGGTTCAAAAGCAGCTCCTTACAGGGCCAGGTGCCCTCGAATCAGCGCCGGGGTTGTGGGCCAGGAGTTTCCTGTTTTGGGCTGAACTCGCCTCCTTTTTTCGCCGCCTTTCATTTTCTTGATCGGAAATTATTCAAAATATTCGGCAGAAACGACCCCAGGGACCTGCGGGGGGGAGGAAGCAGAGCGGGGATTGGGGTTTGTACCAGAACCTGCTCGCCCTGATCCCACAAAAAAAGAGGAAATAATTCATAAGGAAATCGTTTTTCTTATTATTTATTGTAAAATTCCCGGCGCTGGAAGCTCTGAAAGGATCCCGAAGGGAGCGGGAGTGGAGGTGCTGCCACCCCAAATGTTGCCCCTCCCACTGTGGTGCCCACCCAGAGGGGTGGGAAAGCCCCAAATATCCTGGGATTGACCCGCCTTGGGGTTTTTGTGGGATCCAAACAGCCAGGAGGAGGAGGAGGAGGAGGAGAAGGGAAGGTGGTCTTGGAAAACTCGCCTGAGATCTTGGAAAACTTCTCCTTCAGGAGAAGGTGAATCCTCCTTCTTGCCCTGAGGGAGGTGACCTTGGGATTCGGGTGCTCAGGGATGGGGACGGTCCAGAGGGGTGGGAATGGGGTTGGAATATCAGCCCTGGGTGTGGAAAAGCAGGGAAAATGGTGCTGGGGACAGGGATGGTCCAGAGGGGTGGGGATGGGGTTGGAATATCAGCCCTGGGGTCGGAAAAGCAGGGAAAGTCAGTCCTGGCCCTGCTGCTGGAAACTCTGGAGGTGTTTCTGGCAGAGGGAATCATTCCCTGGCAGAGGGAATCATTCCCTGCCCATCAGGGCTCAGCTTTGGAACATCCTTCTTCCAGTTTCGTTGCTTTCCCTGTTTTTTGGAGGTGGCAGCAGCAGGAATTCACACGCTCGTGGTTGGGAAAGACCTCTGAGACTCATCCCCACCTCATCCCCCAGCCCAGAGCCACGTCCAGCCCTTCCCTGGGATGGTTTAAAATGACATTTTGATGTCACCACGGGGCAGCAAAGGGTGAACTCACATCCCGCTGCTTTTCAGGGAAGTGGAGCCCCGAGTCTTCCACGAGTTTTGCCGTCAGCAAATTGTGACTGATGGTAAAAGGTGAGTGAGAAACCACCCGAAACAACCACCCCGGCGTCCTGCGAGGCTCCTCCTCCCGCCCCAAGGGCTTCTGACTCAGCCACTTCCCAAAAATCAGCGGCTCCCGGAGGGGGAAGGACCCGGCAAAGCTCTTCCCGTGGAAAACAGGGGACTCAGACCTGGGAAACACGGCGGAGGTTCCTCCTGGAGGCTCCTGGAAAGAGCACTTGGAAAACTTGTTTAATGAGCAAAACCATCAAGGAAAAAAAGTCCTTTGGGGAAGAACATCCTGAGAACATCCAGTTGTAGGAAAAGTCTCTTTTAATGGCAAGGAATGATCCCAAAAACTCCTTTCTTTCCCACAAATTCAGCCTGAAATCTCCTGGAAAGAGCACTTGGAAAACTTGTTTAATGAGCAAAACCATCAAGGAAAAAAAATCCTTTGGGGAAGAACATCCTGAGAACATCCAGTGCCAGGAAAAGCCTCTTTTAATGGCAAGGAATGATCCCAAAAACTCCTTTCTCCATCATTTCCCAAATCCCTGAGCTGTGGGATCTCCCGGCCCGAGGGGGAAGAATCCAGAAAAGGCACCTAAAAACCTGGTGTTAAATTAAAAATTTAATGTGTAAACGGGTGTTTGTGAAGGTCCTCATAAAAATGTGGTGTTAAATTAAAAATTTAATGTGTAAATGGGTATTTGTGAAGGTCCTCAAAGCAGGGAGGACACACAGAGGGGAAAGCCAGAGCTCTGCCCCTTGAGATGATCCTGAAAAAAATGCAGGATGCCCAAAATGCCCCTTGGAAAGGCTCAGATTGGGTGACCCCACCGATCTTGGGATGAAGGAAGAGGATTTCCCGGCGAGCCACGGATTGAGGAATTGGGTTGGAATCATTCCCTTGATCCAGCACAACCAGGAGATCTGGGAGCTGCTCCCAGGAGATCCCGGAGCCTCATCCCGATGCTGGGGGGATGAAGAGCTGAGGATGGAGGTGAATTTGCAGGGTCCTCAAGCCAGAGCCAGGTGGAGGAAGAGGAGGAGGAGGTGACCCAGGACCAGCAGCCCAGTGGTGAAGGTGCAGGAGGCGGCGGTGGAGGATTCACCTGGAGGCAGAGGGAGACCAGGAGGGGTAGGGAGAGGGCTCTGGAGTGATCCCAGGTGGGCTCCTGCCCCACAGCAGCCCATGGTGCAAGGGGGGAAAAGGATCCCACAGCTCCTGACCCAAAGAATTTCAGGGACCCCACTTGGGGGTCGGGATCTTCTCCCACACAACCGGCGACAGGAGGAGGGGGAACGGCCTCAAACTGTGCCAGGGGAGGCTCAGGTGGGACATCAGTGGGAATTTCCCCATGGAAAGGGTGGTCAGGCCTTGGCAGGGGCTGCTCAGGGAGGTGGGGGAGTCCCCAGCCCCGGAGGTGCCCAGGGAAGGGTGACAAGGTGGGGACAGGGCGCGGGACGGACTCAACGACCTCGGAGTTCTCTCCCAACCTCAGCGATTCTGTGACCTGCTCTGTGACCCCAAAGCTGCTCTGGGGGGCTGCCCAGGGAGGTGGTGGGGAGTCCCCATTCCTGGAGGTGTCCAAGGATAGGACTGGACGCAGCACTGAGTGCCAAGGTGGGGACGGGGCATGGGATGGACTCGACGACCTCGGAGTTCTCCCCCAACCTCGGCGATTCCGTGACCTGCTCTGCAACCCCAAAGCTGCTCTGGGGGGCTGCCCAGGGAGGTGGTGGGGAGTCCCCATTCCTGGAGGTGTCCAGGGAAAGACTGGACGTGGCACTGAGTGCCAAGGTGGGGACGGGGCACAGGACGGGCTCGACGACCTCGGAGTTCCCTCCCAATCTCAGCGATTCCGTGACCTGCTCTGTGACCCCAAAGCCGCCCTGGGGACCCTCCAAAGCCACCCCAGAGCCCACCCCCAGTTCAGCTGTGTCCCCCCTTACCTGTCCAGGAGCAGGGGTGCCTGTAGGTGAGCGAGGCGCTGTTGGAGGAGGCGGGATTGCTCACCCTGCACACGTACGTCCCTTCCGAGGGGTTGAAGGAGACCCTCTGCACGGGGCCCCCCCCGCCCTCCAGCAGGACCTGCCGGGGGGGGATCCACTCGTAGGTGACCTCCTGGAGCCCCACGGAGCACTCCAGGGTGGCGTTGCACTGCTGGACATCATCCTTGGTCACCGTGACTGTCACCCGGGGCTTGGGGACCACGTCTGCCAGGGGCAGGAGGGTGTCAGGGCCACCCCGAGCCACCCCTGGGCCCCTCAGCTCAGGAAGGACATGGAGGGGCTGGAGCAGGTCCAGAGAGGAGCAACGAGGCTGGGGAAGGGACTGGAGCACAATTCCCGTGAGGAGAGGCTGAGGGAGCTGGGGGGGCTCAGGGGAGACCTCCCCACTCTGCACAACCCCCTGACAGGAGGGGGGACCCAGGGGGGGTTGGTCTCTTCTCCCAGGTAACTCTCAGCAAGACAAGAGGGTCTCGAGCTGTGCCAGGGGAGGTTTAGGTTGGATATTGGGAAGAATTTCTGTCCAGAGAGGGTGATCAGCCCTTGGAATGGGCTGCCCAGGGAGGGGGGGGATTCTCCATCCCTGGATGTGGCATCAGTGCCACAGGCTGGGAACCACGGCGGGGTTGGATCAAGGGTTGGGCTTGGGGATCTGGGAGGTCCCTTCCAACCCAGCTGATTCTGTGATTCTGTGATTCTATGATTCTATAATTGTATAATTCTATGATCCTATAATTCTATGTTTTTATGATTCTATGATTCTATGATCCTATGATTCTATAATTCTATGATCCTATGATTCTATAATCTATGATTCTATGATTCTATAATTCTATG